CCAGCATGAATGGCTGCCCCTGTTCCGTGCCACTCTACCTTGGAGCCAGCTAATTATGGACTGAAACCTCCAGGACATGTGAGCTAAAAAAACCTCTTGTTCCTTAATTCTGGGTGTCCGATATTTTGTCCCAGCAATGAGAGAAAAGTAACCAAGACAACACCACTTTCTAAAACAAATACAAAGTTGACCACACGTATTAACCCACGTGCCCATCAGACTTCGGAGGTAGAGACCTTTGTGGAGGTACAATGAACTTCGGATCTGTGGTCCTGGCTGCACATCCCCTTCCCCCTCAGAGATCCTCTTAGTCTTTAAAAACAAATCTCAAGCCGGGGATTTAGCTCAATGGTTTAATCTCTTTCCTGTAAGTTTGAGGTCAGGAGTTCAATCCCTGGTACCAAAAATAAATAAATAAATAAGAACAGATCTTGTCTCAATAATTACAGGACTCCTGCTGGCCTGGGAAATCTGATGCCGAAGCCCAAACTGCTGTTCATTCAGGGGAGCCTAAGGTATGATATTGGATTTCAAATCATTCCAAAATAATCTACGTTTCCCACAGCAGTCCCAGCCCAGGGACCTTAGAATTTTATCCCTGATTTATCACAAGTAAAAGGACCAAATAGTCCTGCTGGCCCCCATGTCCCCAAGTTTATTCAGTCATAAGCAAAAGCCTGCTGACTACCGTCCCAAATTTGCCTCGTCAGCCACTGGGGATCCCATCCTACCTGCTTAATTTTCTCTGTCTTTATACAGCAAGACAGTATCAGCAGCAGAAATCATCACATGTTCCCAGGAAGCACTCAGCAGTCATGAGGTTAGTAAGGCTGCTTTTCTTATCTCTCTGCTGAGGCACCGAAACAATGCCTGTCCTTATGCTTTTTCGGCTCATTCCTGCAGAGGGGCCGGGACAAACAGGATTGTGGCATCTATGGTGGGTAACCTACATCCTCTACTGCTTCACAAGATAAGTCAAATGGGGGTTTATCGAGATCAGTGAGGTGACTCACTTTGAACAGAGAGGCTTAGAGGTCTAAAGGTTTGCTAGGACCCTGACAGTCATGTCTGATAAAGCCATGCTCAGCCAGAGTTTAATAGAGGCCTCACCCCTCCCTGACTACATCCCAGCCCTGATAGTTATAAATAATGTCAACACTAGGTAAGCATCCGAGCTCTTGTTAACCTCTCTCCTTTTTAAAATCACGGAGCATTGGGCACCTTTTCAACTGATTGGCAGGAGGGGTTACTTCTGGTGACTTCTGGTTCTCTTCCCCCACAGTCCATGAACGGTGCTGACTTGTGGGGAAAGGCTGGTGTCTGGCCTGAGAAAGGGTGTGGAGAGGCGAAGTCGGGGGAGGGGGCTACAAAAAGCACCATTCCTACGGGGAAGTTTCACCTATGTACAGACTTGGTGTCTTCCCCACTGGTTACAGCTCCTACTGATTGAGTCATCCTTCTCTTCCTGGTTCAAAGAGGACAGCACACTGATAAGCTGAGATTGCTAAACTAAGAAATCAGTGGGCGAACCCTACTACTCTAGAAGGCTAAGACAGGAGGAGTAAGCTTGAGCCCAGCCTTACTGATTTAGTGAGACCCTGTTTGAAAACAAAACAAAACAAAAAAAATAGGGATGTGCAAAGGTCTTGGATTCAACCCCTAATATCTTCAGGAAAGAAAAAAAATCAAAATTGAGTAGCATTGGTCTAGGGAGCTTAGAATGGGCTTGAGAGACCATCATTAACAAGATCTTGGCCACAGCTGAGCACCTGATTCAGCTGCAGACATGCCCGCCCCATGTGAATCCACCTTTGAATATCATTAATCTCTGCTGACCTTCTCTACAATGGACTCTTTGCCCTGGCTACCAGAGACCAAGACTCCACCTGGTCCCTTTCTTACAAGACAGCTTAACATTTGCCAGCACCCATCACAATTCCTAAGTTACCAATCTCCTTGTGGATCAGAAGGATCCCCCAGTCACCACCTGGTACCACCTAGGAGCACATTTTCAAGATGGTTTCAATCTGTTTCCCCATCTGCAGTCCCACTTACCTCCCCACGAATGTGATTTTCTTTGTTCTTGACTAGATTGATTTTATTTTTGCAATCATTTTGGGGGGATGAAGGGATGGGTTACAGGGAATCAAACTCAGGACCTCATGCTTTCCACATAAGTGCCGTGCCACTGAGCTATATGTCCCCAGCCCAATTTTATTCTTGATAACACAGATGCGAATGCTCCTCACAAAAGGTTTTTGGAGCTTCTCTATCTGTTGTTTAATCAGCTCAAAATAACCCCTATGCAAAAAAAAAAAAAAAAAAAAGGCATAACTTGGAGTGGCATTTTCTGCTCTTCTTGTTCCCAACATAACTTCGCTTCCATCTGTCAGCTGGTGCTGGCTGCCACCTCACCACTGCCCAGCCTCTTGTCCTGGCACTGGGCTGTCATTTTCACATGGTGGCAGGCAAGTTCCAGGAAAGCAAAGCCCATGTGAGTGTGTTGTGGCATCTCAGCGGCCATCACACCTGCTGATGACAGTGGTGACAGCCTGCCTGGTTGTCATGCCCAGCATTAATGCACAGGGATGCACAACAGCAGGGCCACTCAGAGGGCGTTCACACAGAGCCACTATGTACCCAGCCATCCCTTCCTCTGTGGGTAAATAGGGGTATCTCAGTTCGAGAGCTTAGACATCTCACTGTCATAAAAACCCATGTAGAGGAACAGACCATATTAACCATCACCTAAATTTTGGTGCCTTCACTTTGTGTTTCTTTTATATTAAAATATATATCCACCACACCACATTGGTGTTTTGAACTTGAAGAATAAAGGTGTGGGCTGGATACAGTAGCGATGGTCTCTTGCCCCAGTTACTTGAGGCTGAGGCAGGAGGGTTGTCTGAGTCCAGGAATTTGAGACCAAGCCTGGGCAAAATAGTGACACTGTCTCCAAGCAAAGGCACAAAGCCCGTCCTGCCATTTTTCAGCTTCTGCAGAGTTCTTTCTTCAGTTTGTTCCCTCTTAGAGAGGACGCTGGTTAACTAAGATGGGAATCAATCTGCTTTCATCCCGGGGTTCCTCTTCCCCTTTTCTCTGACTGTTCTCACTGTGCAGTGCTGGTCTGGGACAGAAATATTTTGTCACCTGTGCTGCCTAATTTGGCTCTGAAATCTTGAATGTGGCCAGTGCAAAGAGGGAAGCGATTTTTTATTTTAAAGTTAAGTTTACCTTCAGAGGAGGCCTCAGCTACCATACACCGCTGCTCGAGACAGGTCACTGGGTCCTGTTTTGGTGATGCCAGAAATGAACAGGCGAGTGCATTCCCACCAAGCCACAGCTCACCCCTTTTGATTTTGAGATAAGGTCTTGCTAAGTTGGTTTTTTGTTTTGTTTTTGGCACTGGTAATGGAACTCGGGACCTTGTGCTTGCCAGGTAGGCACTTGCGCCACTAAGCTGTATCCTCGGCCCAGGTCTTGCTAAATTGGGCGAACTGGCCTTGAACCTACGATCCTCCTACCTCAGCCTCCCAAACAGCTGAGATTTCAGAAACAGGAGGCATAGGCCTGCTTTGGATTCATGGACATCAACTCTGCCCTTCCCATTACCCATGCAAGTTAGGTTACCAGTGACAGAAATTCAGAGTGGCTTAAAAAGAAAATTCCCTAATTACAATGGTTGGACGAATGATTGCTGGGGTTTACAGTGGGGCAAAAGTGACAAACGGTCAGCTCTTTGGGTCCAAACAAGCTTCCAGAAGACAGGCACCCTCTGGGTCTGAAACGCATCGCCCTGCTCCTGCAGTTCTCAACCGGAGCAATTTTGCCAGCAGGGGACGTTGGGCAGTGTCTGCAGACATTCTGGTTCTCACAGCTGGGTGTGCAAGAGTGCCGTCGGCAGCGGCAGTCAGGACAGTGCCCAGATGGGCCCTGCGGCAGAGCTGCGTCCAGCCGAGATGGCACTAGGCCTGAGGCCGAGAAGCCCTGCCCCACACTTGGGGACACAGGACACTGCCTGATACCACCGCAGCCCACCACGCTTTGCCCAGGGCCTCAGGCTGAGCATAGGCAGTGCGAGGATCCGCACCTGGTCAGCACTTGGTGTCAAGTTCCCTTTATCTGTGGTTTGCTCAGTTTTGTTTCTGAGCGATGCCCTCTGGCCTGTGTTTCAGTGAGACTGGTCCCGGTGGCCCTCAGGTATCTGTCCAAGGTGAAGCCACACAGCAGGGCACAAAGCTCATTCTCCAGACCCTGCCCCCCAACACAGAAAAGACACTTGATGAGGAGCACAGTCAAGGTGCACGCTGAAAATCCCAGCACTCGGGAGGCTGAGGAAGGAGGATCATTGTGAGTTCAAGACCAGCGTGGGTTACAAAGTGAGCTTGAGGCCAGCCTGAACTGCATAGTGAGACCTTGTCTCAAAAACAAGCAAACAAAAAACATGCACACTGAGGTTCCAGAACTGGCTTTTATGTTTATCAAACTCCAATTCCTCTATCTTAGAAAATCAATAGGTCATCTGGGTAAAACAAACTTTTCCCATGCTTAATTAGGAATCTTCCTGTTCAGCTGAGACGGCAGAATCTCCACTGTCACTCACTTTTTTTTTTTTTTTTTTTTAAATCACCGGGCACTGAACCCAGGATCTTTGTGCTGAGCTAAATTCACAGCACTTTTTTGGCTGTGCTCAGGCTGGGCTCAAACTTGGGACCCTCCTGCCTCAGCCTTCCACAAGGCCAAAATTACAGGTATGTAACACTACAGCCTACTCCCTTATAGAGCAACAGATGGTCAACGTCGATAATCAGTATTTTCTAGACAAGCTGCAAGCAATCTGTGAATATGATTAAGGAGAGTCTAATACCCCAGGAAGCCAGCAAAAAATTGTCGCTAATACCACAATCAGCTGCGCTCAAGCCTGAGAGGCTGATCTTGAGTGTCTGACAGCATGGGCTCTACCAGGAGACTCTAGTGAGCTCTTTCTGCACTTTCTCAAAACACCACACTTCTAGGAATGCATGTGCTGGGAAAGTTTATTTATATCTTTCTACCATGCCAATCACATTTAAATCCCAGAAGTTTATATCCACAGCATCCAGTGCCATTTGGGGAGAATTTTTTCTTTTTTCTTTCTCCCTCCTAAACCAAAACAAGAAATGATGACCATGGCAGCTGGGTCGCTGAGTGGACAGCCTGCTCACTCTGAGGCCTGCTGTGAGATGCTGGAGTACACCGTGTCCAGGGGCTGCCAGTGACAATCCATGAGGGCGTCATAGAGCTCTTCACTTTTTGCCATAAACTCCTTGTTTAATTCTTCAATATCCAAAGGACGATTTGGATCTGCAGAAGGCAGTAATGGACACAAAGAAAACAGAGGTTTATAGAACACATACCGGGAGTGACTGAAAGCTAGAGTTTGCAAAACAAAACATCAGCAGGAATATGACAGGCATGGAACTCTAAACTCCTTTCGATAAGCCTTAAAAATATAAACTTAACGATTAAATAAGGGATAGGATCTGACTCTGCAAACACCTAGATGGTGAAAAATGGAGACCCAAGAGGCATTTTAGAGGTGAATGCCACAGAGGGGAGGGGAAGACAGGACACAGTGCCAGACGGGAGCCAGGACCAGGACTCCCAGCAAACAAACAGTGTGCAGTCCATGGCAACCCACATACACAAATGAATCTCCTCTAGCAGCTAACCCCGAAACACAGGCACAGCTGGCCTTCCATCTCTGCAGCCTGGGACCCTGTGACAGGACAGGATGATGTCACTGTGAAGGCTTCAGGACACCCCAAGTTGCCAGGTTTCCAGGATTTTCAAGGTCACTGACTGTCACTGTTGTTAACATGATCCATTCCATTCCCCCTTGTACTGAACGTACCTGAGGCTCCTCTCCTCTGTAATCCCTGCATGCCTGGATGCACAAAGAACCATAATTTGCTACTGGATACTCTCATGGCTTCAGGCTGATCATTTGGAGGCTTACTAGGGACTGAATGCTGGTGCTCGCTCCAAATTCATCCTGAAACCCCAACTCTCAAATAGGATGGCATTTAGAGATGGGGCTCTGGGGAGGTGATCAGTGTTAGGTGAGGTCACCAGGGTGGGACCCCGGTCTGATGGCATCAGTGCCCTTAGATGAAAACATACCAGAGAGCTGGGAAGAGCGCACTTGCCAGAGACCAGATCAGCTGGAACCTGGATCTTGAGCTTCTGGCCTCTAGACCTGCAGTCTAATCCACTGTGCACCTTGGCTACAGCGCTCCCAGTAGAAGCATGCAGGGCCCTTCCGGATCAATCCCTTCAGAACTGAGCACATCACATCATCTTTGGAGGCTGTGTTGTCGGATTCTTTTTTTTTTTTTTTTTTTTTTTTTTTGTCTTTTTCATTTTTATCGGTACCTGGGATCGAACTCATGACCGCCTGCTTGCAAGGCAGGTGCTTATGCCGCTGAGCTAAATCCCCAGCCCCTGTGTTGTCGGATTCTTGGTCTCTGGGCATCAAAACCTTTTGAGCAGTCCTTCTTTTGAGGGCTTCTCATTGTAAAATTACATGTCTCATTCTGACTCTGAACTTACTTGTTTTTTGAAACTCATGCCCAGTCAAGGTGTCTGTGGTGCATGCCTATAATGTCAGCACTCTGGGAGGCTGAAGCAGGAGGAACAGAAGTTTGAACACAGCCTGGGTAACTTGGTGACGTAGTGGGACCTTGTCTCAAAATGAAAAATAAAAATGGCTGGGGTTGTAGCTCAGTGTGAAGGCCTGGGTTCAATTCCAACCAGCACTACCACCACCAAAACAAATGAATGAAATGAATGAATGAATGGTCTGTCCTGCCCCAGCCTCCTTTCCTCTGTGGGAAGCTGTCTGCATGTCCTTTTGGCAGTGCAAGGTGTCAGGAAGTCACACCCTCCTGTGTTAGCTGTGGCTGTGAAGAAGAAACACACAGTGTGGTCAGCTCCAACCCTAGGGCCTGTGACCTACTGGCCACAGCTGTACACAAGGCTAAGAAAGAAACAGGGCCCGTGTTGTTCCTGAAACCCAGGGGCCTCCTGCTGTGAGGGAGTGGAAACTTCCCCCCTCCACCCGAGAGGGTGCTGTTTCAGTCTGACGTAAACATGCAGGAGGCAGATGAGGAGAAAAGGTGTGCCGCATGCCCAGGCAGCAGTGCATGAAAGAGAGTGAGTACGTGAGAATCCAGTGAGCTCCAGAAGCTTCCATCAGCCTTCCTGAGAGGAAACAAGTGCAGGTGGCATCTTGAGAGTGGGTTACTGGTTATTGGAAAGAGCCAGACCATGGATACACACACCTGTATCATCAGCACTCAGGAGGCTGGGATAGGAGGATTGCTGTGAGTTCAAGGCCAGCCTGACCTGCATAGCAAGACCTGCTCTCAAAAACAAAAACAAACCAGGCATGGAGGGTGTACGCTTGTAATCCCCAGCACTTAGGAGGCTGAGGCAGGAGGATCGATGCAAATTTGAGGCCAGGCTGGGTTACGAAGTAAGTTCAAGGCCAGCCTGAACCTCATAGTGAAACCCTGCCACAGAACGATAAAAAAACAAAAATAAAATTTAAAAGTGTCTGCAAAAATGAATGGGCCCCCAAGAGAGCAGAGCCTGATGGGGTGACACAGTTGATCCTTCCTGGTGGGTCAGACTCTGGGGTGGGGTGGATTCAACACAGCTGAGTCTCTGTGGGAGGCTATGGCCCTCGGCAGGGAATGGAAGCTCAGAAAAAGCCTCTCTCGGTTTCCCATTTCCCAAGTGCCCCTAGTGTGAAGCAATCAGCAACCAAGGGATCCAAAGGGAGCTATTTTCCCAGCCCTTAACCACCTGCTCCGAGATATGAGGGTGAATAAGGCCCCACATGTAAAGAGGAGGGCAGTGACCAGGACTGGGAAAGGAGGGGACAAGGACCACCTGTTTCATGGAAGTTTCAGTTTTCTAAGACAAAGCCGTGCAGGAGCGGGATGGTGGCAACATCCTTGTGCCAGAACGAATGTCACCGAGACAGGTGCTTCAACAGCGGGAAGGCAATGACAGCTCGTGTTCTGGGGACTTCACCAGAATAAAAACTGGAACGAGCACTGTGTTTGGAAGACCTGGTATAAACAGGTGAGAGTCTTGCTCATTTTTTATACTGAGTACATGTTGGAACAAGATTTTGTTATTGTCTTGTTTGGTTCAAGCTGTTATCAAAGTGCCACAGCCTGGACAGCTTAGAAACAGCTGTATATCTCACAGTTCAGGAAGTCAGAAGTCCAGGGCGAGGATGCCAGTGTGGTCAAGTTCCTGACAGCACCCTCTTCTCAGGGCCAGGCAGCACAGAGCAGACTCAGAGGGAAGAACCAAGCTCCCTCCTAAACCTGAAGGGCACCAACCCCTTTCTGAGGGCCCCCATCTCCATGGCCTCCTCCGTCCCATTGCTTTTAGGAAGCCACATTTCCTAAAACCATCACCTGGCCTCAGGTTTCAACATAAGAAATGGGCGGTCTTGTTAAAGGTCTTGTCTCTCCACATTCAGTTTGTGATCTACATATTAGGATAAGAATAGGAATTAAATTCATCTCACCTGTCCTTAGTTTTCCTCCTATCTTGGCTCCTGGAGAATTTACCAGGATCCAGATCCAGGAGGATGGAGTTTGTGTTTTGTGTCACATTTCTCCTGGCCCCAGGCTGCTCTAGCTGTGTGGTTAGCTAAGGCTGCACTTAGCTAGGAACACTTAAGATCTCACCAGAGAATCATTTGTCTGGAATGACAGGGCTCTAGGTGAGATTTGAGCCAGAGCTTTTCCTCGGGTGCTTTTCCAGATGGCACAGCTCACACTACAGCCACCTGCACCCCAGCTGAAATAAGCACCTATGCAAATCAGAGTACTGAGAAACTAGAACTGCAGGACAGCACAAGATTTCTTTGAAACACCAATCCCAAGTCAATTAAGCACTCAGCTCCTGCTAGCATGCACGCTCACATGTCCCCGTCCTTCACGGGGAGCAAGGAGGCTGAATGGAGCTCAGGAGGGCAAAGGGACCCAAAAGACAGGTGACAGGAACCAGGCACCCATGTTGTCTGTGTTTCTTCTCTACTTCTTTTCAAGTAAAAGCAAAACATTTTCTTTCCTTCTACAAACAAGACACTTTCAGAACCAGGAGGATTCCCCTGGCAGACGTACTTGGTTCTCTTCAGGACAGAGGGAGAACTACTGGAAGCACTGTCCCCAGAGAGTCGGCCACCAGGCAGGTCCCCAGGAAGCAGCAACCCAGAGCCACACAGGGAAGCCACTTCCACAGCCTCTTGTCCTGCCCCCAGCTCAAAACACAAAAAGTCAGGGGTGTAGTGGCCCACACTTGTAGTTCTAGCAGTCTGGGAGGCTGAGGCAGGAGTATTGAAAGTTTGACTCCAGCCTAGACTACTTAGCAACTTAGTTGAACCTGCTTCAAAATAAAAATTAAAAAGGGCTATGTTGTAACTCAGTGTGAAGGACCTGGGTTTCATCCCCAGTACTAAATAAGGAGTTGAGGTAGGAGGGTCACAAGTTCAAGGCTAAGCTAGGCAACTCAGCAAGCCCCAGTCTTAAATAAAGAGGAGGACATAGTGGTAGAGCACTGGCTGAGTCCCTGTAAACCGGTGGGTTCAATCGCCCATACATTAATCAAGCAATACAAATTAAAAAGAAATTAGGCTGGAGGCTCAACAGAACAGCACATGCATAGCTTGCACAAGGGCTCCTGATCAGTGCCAGCACCCAAAGGAAAGAAAACCTATTAGAGTGTCGGGAATCCTGCCTTAATCTGTTCCGTGCTGAGACTGGGTGATTCATGTATTTGGCACACTTTCTAGAGGCTGGGAGGCCCAAGCTTGAAGGGATCCGTGTGGTGAGGGCCTTCCTGCTGCCTCACCCCACAGCAGGGAGCAGAAAGGAGGGAGGGTAAAGGGTGCAAGGGCTGAGCTCCTCCTCTCATCCAGCACCCACTCCCGCCTCCATATCACCATCTATAATCACTTTCTGATGTCCCAGCTCCCAGCTAGGCCCAGGAGCGCACACCTGGAGACCCAGCACTCCAGAAAGCTGAAGGTGAAAGATGGCAAATTCAAGCTTAGCCTGGGCAACTTAGGCAGGCCCTGCCACAAGAAATAAAAATGGCTGGCCATGTAGTTCCAGGCAAAGGCCTTGGGTTCAACTTCCGGTGTGGGATCCCACCTCTCAACACTGTTACTCAGGGCTCTAAAGAAGAACTTCAGGGCACATGTTCAGACCTTAGCTAATCTTAAACTTAAGGTGGAAATGCATCTTCAAAACCACATAATCTCTTTTACTGTTTGAGAATGTTCCCATCTGCCTTCTTCAGAAAGGCCCTTAGAGTTACCTCAGCTGACACTGACTTCACCAGAACAATTTCATAGAAAACAACAAATGACTGAAGAGAATGGTTTCAACCACCTATACTGGAATGTTCCAGAAGGCCCTCAGTTCCTGGTATGTCGACTGAAGGAGGGAGGAACCTAGATGTGGGCTTTTGTTTCCAACCACTGGGGCGCAACATTTATGGTTACCTTTTAGTGAGTCTTCGTCTTGGCCTTCAGCTGGAAACTTGGTTTTCAGCTTGGTTTCCTACAGAAAAAAAATCAGTACCTTGAGGGGAAAAAAATCACTTTACTAACATTTACTACCAATAAATGCTTGCTTGGAGAAGAAAATCTAGCTCTCTAAAGTGCTAGACTCTCTTTAAAGTAGATTTACCTGAATTCTGATGAGAAGAATATATTATACAGCAACTATGAAGTGAAGAAACTGAGTCCCAAAAAAACAGTGACAAGGGAGGAACAAGCCTGCCACAGGCCAGCGGCCCCCCTGTACCCGGGCTGGAAGTGGACAGGAGCGCCCTGGCACCAAGACTTCCTATAGCAGACGCCCACTCACCACCTGGAGCTCTGCCCCTCCTTCCTGCAGACAACCTGGCAAAGGCTCCCTGAGCATTCACTCCTCCTGGCCCCAAACAATTGGGCTCTGCCAAGGGCGGAGGCCGTAAGTACCGGGAAATGCAGAAGAGCAAAGCAATCCATCTTGCTCTTGCCTAACAAGAGACGCAAATTCCAGAAGCGCCCGACACACATCTTGGTTGGTTAACTCAGACTCTGCCTCAAGAGCACACAGTGTCCAGGCTGCTGCTATCTCTACACCTGCAGGGAAGCTTCCTTTGTAAGTCTGTGCAGCTGTTCTAAGAAGCCACCAAGAATTCGTCTTATTCAGTTGTATTTGCTCTCTGCACCAGTGAACTTAATTAAGTCCCGCTCGCTAATAAGAATGAGATGATATGAAAGCCAAAGACCTTTCCTCTTAGTCAGTCTGGAAGTATGCTTCCCTTTTACTCTGAAATACATCCTGGTTTGGAAAATAAACCATGCAGACCATATATGTTATCACACCATCTATCTCTTTTTTATTTAGAAGTGGCTAAGACCATCAGAATCTGAGTAAAGAAGGTCTTTCTTATGTGTACTATAATATCCAAATAATCTCATACTTCTGCCTTTTTGCTATGAGCTTGGTAACTGGGAATCAATCCTGTGTCCAAAATTGGAGAAGCAGAAAATCTTTAGAAACTGCGTTTTCTCTGGCCAAGAGTCACCAGGCAGAGTCTGCTACAGGCTGTCTTTAAAGACATACATAAAAGACCTTCCTCTGCTACTGGTAGACCAAGGAAGTTGTGCTGATGGGCCCTAAAGACATGAGAATCATTCTAAAGACATCTGCTTCCCCTAAGGCAAGTCACAATGTGAAAGAGTAAAGAAAAGGGATGTTGGGGACCTCACCTTGGGAAGCCAAGGGCATGGAGGCATAGGTAAAGACAGGCATACAACAGTGGGGAACCAAGATATGGCATCTCAGAGAGGACACACTTCACTAAAGAAACCAAAATGAGGACATGGGAGTGAAAGACCCACTAGAGAGCTGCACCCTCCACAGTTTGGGGATCAGAGCACCCGCTGGGGTGGGAGGTGGACGGCACACCCCAGAAGCCACAGCCACAGAATGTATTTGTAATTCTTCAATTAACAGATGCATGTAATGATCTGCCTAGAGTATGGGGGTTAAAAATTCTGGAATATGCCAAGATAAATGGCCAGAAAAATGAGGTAACAGGGAAAAGGGATGTTAATTCTTTTTAACGTCCTCATGAGTGGAAACATTTTTAAAAATTTTGAAAGTTGATAATACACTCATAGCACTACTGCTGTAAGTAACCACTAAGCAAAAAGAGGGAAAAGTGGTGAGAGGAGCGTGCTGAGACCTCAGGCAACGGTTCGCGACCCGGGACCGCACTTTCAGCCCAACCGGGAAAACGCACGCTGAATTAAATGGAAAAAAGAAAAGGCAAGAACTCTAACAAGACTTTACACGCGAGGCAGACCTAAAACAGAGTTTAACAATTGAAAATGAAAGGCTGGGGAAAAACCCATCAGGCAAATGTTAGGCTTCACAAACCCAGGCTCTAAATGCCAAATTCGATCTGGTGTTCTGGGCCCGGTTATCAGAGAGCGGCCCTATGCATAGTAATAAAAAAGATGGCAGAGCAGGTCCCGCCCTTTGGACTGCAAAGCCTGCAAAGAACGGATTTCCGCAACACGTGAGTGCTGATGCAGCCAAGGCAAGGGGAAGCCGTGCAGCTGAAGACAGACACAAGTCAGGCCCGAGCCATGGCTCACACACCCAATGGACGTCCTAAAGGGTGGCCGCCCTTGGGAACAGACCACTGCCTCCCGCTTCCCTATGGGAGACAAGAGAAGCCCATGCAGGCCTTTTGGTAAGTAAATTCTAAGCGTTACATCCTTTAATCTAGCCCCTCCACATCTAGAAATGAATGCTCAGGAAAAAAGCAAAAACAGGACCAGGGATGTAGCTCAGCAGTGCAAGCGCCTTACTGGATAGCCCAAGGTCCTGAGTTCAATTCCAGTACCTCCAAATAAAGAAGAAAAAATAGAGGCTGGGGATATAACTCAGGGGCACAGCACCTGCCTGGCAGGAGTGAGGTCCTGAGTTCAACTCTCAACAACAACAACAACAAAAAACACGTTGAGGCAAACCTGGATAGCCAGACAAAAGGCAATTTATTAAAGCACTAAAACATTTCAAAAGGATTTCATTTCAGATAAAGGATGGGAGAAAATCCACCAGACACCTAAATAAACACTTTTGGATTTTTTCTGAATTACATCCCAGCCCCTAAAGGGGCTGTTGGGTCTTTAAACACAGCTCTCCTTAAAGCTGTAAATGTAAGCGAGCAGAAAACAGGCCAGTACCTGCTGCTGGGCCCATACTTAACAAAGCACCACTGCCTGTCCCTCAGACACAAAGCCCAACCACACAGGGTGTAGCCAAAGTTTCGGGGGAACCTAGGAGGCTTCCACCCACCCCCGAGGCTGGGGTGTGGCCGTTTTCCCTTACTCTGGGACATCTTAACATAGCTCAAAATATGGCTTTAGTAATCTAAGTCTTAAAGTGGCTTTCTAAAGTGTATTCACACTATGACCAAAGCCAGAAGCCGCTTCCTCTCCTAGTTAAATGTTAAAAAAACAAAAATCTAACGTTTAGGAGGCTAAGGATGTCCTCAGGGGCCTGGCACAGGCGAGGCAGACTTGCTGTGTGCCCCGCTGCCCTACCAGATCCACACTGGCTGAGCGCTGTGCCTGTAATCCGATAGGTGGGTGACACTTTGACACAACTGTGACTTTGCTGTGTAAGTTTCCCCCGACAAAAGGGCCTTGGTGGCCACCCACTTTCAGGATCCCTCCTGCCTCCCAGGAGATATTGCTCAAGAAGCCTTCCTATAGGGCACTTGAACTCAACACATCTGATGTCCAGCAGGCTGGGGGTTCTATTTCTCCTCTGCACGGAGCCGAACAGGTCGTGGGGATCTGACTGAGAGGGCACAGGTGTGGGTACAGGGAGGAAAACGCTGCTGGCATTACTGTGCACACATGTGTCAAGATTCACTCCAGCAAGGGTTACCTGGGGCGGCGCTGAAGTTCCAGCTGGGTGTCCAGTGACCTGGTACACAAGTTGAGGTCCATTTCCAGCCACCGCGCAGCTGAAGCCACCTCTGGGTAGAGTGTAAAAGCCCAGAGCCCGCTCATCACAGACGGCACAGTGATAGCCATGTCGGGGTGGGAGCTCGGGCTTCACTCTAAGGGCAAAGGGAAGAAGACAGCAGTGCCAACCACTGCCAGCCAGGGAGCAGTCTCACAGCCGCCCCCTTCTCTTTTTCTAGTTTTGGAGGGTTGCTTGAGACAAGGTCTCCATGTATCCAGGTTGGCCTGGAACTCACAGCCATCCTCCTGCTTCAGCATCCCCAGTGCTGGGATTACAGACTTGGGATTCCTCTCCCTTCCAACTCAACAACCCCCCCATCAGGAAATTTCAAGTAAGGGTGATTTTTACTTCATTTACTTAAAAACACTTGTGTTTTGAGCTGCCAAAAGGACTGTTGCTCAGAACACTGACAGCTTTCATTTTCATTATAGGGGGAATAGAGGGAAAAAAATCCACTCACCTTTGCCAGTAGTAGAAATAGTTATTTTCTTGAGCTACGCCAAAACCTGCGAAGTTCTCCCACCTGGCCATTTATGCAGAAACTTTCCCAAAGAACGCTGGAACTCACAACTTTTATACTTTCCTGCCCAAAACTGGGAGCTGGTGGAGACCCCTTCCCAAGACCTAAGGCAGCTATGGGGGGGGGGGGTGGAGCCAGGTCCTGGAGGCTCCTGCCAGCGAGCTCCCGGCTGGGTTTCCTGACAATGAGGCAAAGGTGTGGGCGGAGGCAGGGATGACCGGGGCCACCTGGGCACCTCTGCAGGGACTCCTCCCTCAAGCCTCGGGGTAGGATAATCCGCGCGCTCCTGTATGGACACGTCGGGGGTCAACTGGGAAGAACCCAAGCATCTCCCCTGCACCCCTGCAAGCACATGGAGACTTTAATAACTAAAGCCTAAGGACAAATGTCACAATCTGATGCTTCTTATTTACTAACAACTACTGGAACCAACACTTAGTGGTTTTCTTTAATCCACTGTAGGTTGAAATCTTTATTCCAATGAGTTGCAAAAGTATGGGGCTCAGAAGTGGTTTTCTCTCTGTTTCTCTCAACACATATGCACCTACATCAGTACATGTACAGGATAACATTTTTAAGAAATATTTCCATAGTTCTGACTTTGGTGTCTTGTTTTTTAATGATAGTAGGGGCTGAATCTAGGACCACTGCCCTACATCCCTACATCCATTGTTTAATTCTTGAAATTTGCCCAGGTGGTGCTTGAATGTGTGACCTCCCACTGTAGACAGCTAAGGTGGCTAGGAATATTCTAGGCAGCCAGGCAGGGCCAACCCCTGGACAGAGTGCAGAAGATGGGAGACATTGCATCTGGGCAAAGAGACCACAAGACAAGATGAAACAAACGCACTCACAGACTTCCTCTATGGATAAACAAGTGAGTGATATTATAAATAGGTATCGCCTTGGGGAAGCCAGGAAGAACCACTGGCCCACTCCTCCAGGAAAAGCTCGTTCTGTTCCATACCCACTACCTGACTAGCTTCCCTATTTGATCCGCATTTAATCAGTATTACCTGAGCAATTACGCTCCTAACTTCATTGGTTGACCATAGTTTTCTCCCACCCCATACCCATCTTGTGATTTCCCATTGGACCAATGTTACCAAAGCGGTAATCCTTGTAGTCTCACTGGTTGATTATAGCTTTCCCCACCTTGGACCTGCCTCACCTCATGGTTTTGCTCTGTAATACTGCCTTGAAATACGGGGTCTTGGACAACTCACTTGGGACCCCTTCTGTCTTAGAAGCTTTGTTCCTCCAATAACTAGATTCTGCTCTTATAACCCATTGTTCTAGAATTCATTCTTCAATTTTATTCTTTTTTGCTACTGGGAATCAAATTTAGGACCTAGCGCTTGCCAGGCAGGCGCTTGTGCTGCTGAGCTGTGTCCCTGGCCCTCATTCTTCAATTTTAGAGAACACAAACTCGTTGTGGACACCTAGCAGGTTGGGAGTTTTCTTTGCCTTGTCACTCCTGTCTCCCACTGCTGGGATAACAGGCGTGTACCACACCGGGCCTTTGTTGTTCAGTATTCTTTTAAAGGAAAATAAAGGTATGCGAAAGCCAGTGGTACTGCCAAACTTCAGTGTTGTAACATGAACACTGAGGTCCAGCCATGCATGGCAGTGCATCCCTTGTAATTCCAGTACTGGGAAACGGAAGCAGGAGGATCGCAAGTTGGGGCCAAGCGTAAGCAATTTAGGAACTTGGTAAGACCCTGTCTCAAAATAAAAAATGAGCTAGGGATGTAACTCAGTGCAAAAACACCCTGGGTTCAATCTCTAGTACTAGAAAAATAAAAACCAAACAGAATTCTGATTTTATTGAGGTAGTAATAGGCTGGATAAAGATTCTATTTCGTAGCTCTTGCTTGCAGCTAGAAGTGGTCAGATGTCCAGCCTGGCTAAAATATAAAAGAAGCCATTTGAAGAAAGCAGTATAGACAAAGGCTTTGCTCAGATGGAGCCCTTTTGCCCGCCCCCTGTTCCCAGGCCTGGAGCAGTGATCTAGGATGTGATGCCCCAGACTAACATCACTGCAGCGGTCATGGCCAGGACGTGAAATCAAGTGGGGAATCACACACAATACCTGTGTCCATGCTTAAAAAACCCAGTGTAGCCCAAAAACTCTGCTGTCAGTTTAGCCAGAACCCCTCATCTGGACATCTGATCATTCATGGTATTTCACACCTCAGTGATGTCTGATCACCCGGGCTTGACTTCAGCAAGAATCCTGCTAGGTTGGTTTAGCCAGAATCCCCCCCAACCCGCTGTTTTCTTGTAGTAATTTTCCATCCACTGACACCTTCCATTCCTGGGCTTTACAGTTTCCAGTTGCCTGTGTTGTTTGGAGATGAGTCTGCTCCACCATGAGACCCAACCACAGTGATCACGGTACCAAGGATATGGGCCTAGGCAAAGTCTTCCTGGTGTGCTCTGACGAGTCTCTCTGAGAGAATGAGCAAATAAAAGTACTCCAAGTAAAAGTCAAAAGACACTCCAGATAAAAGCAGTGATGTCTGGGTTCCTCACAACTGTAGACTTCCTCTGTCACCCTTAATCTGTTCTACTTTCTGGTTTAACTGTTTTATTTAAGTCACTGTTTTTTTTGTTTTTTCTTTTGGAATTCTGAGTTTATGTAGCCCAGGAAGGCCTTGGATTCACACTGACTTTCCTGCCTCAGCCTCTCAAGTGCTGGATTATAACCTGCTGGGATTACAGCTGTGGGCCACATTCCCAGTCCACTGTTATAAGCAGCTCAGACATCATCCAATAAAATGTACTGGTCATGGCCAGGGATATAGCTCAGTGGCACAAGTGCCTTTCTGGCAAGTGTGAAGTCATGAGCTTGATTTCTGGTATCAAAAAAAGTTATTGGTCAAGAATTCTGTTAAAATGTTACTTTTATTATAGGCAGCTAAATTAGAAATTAATGGAGAGAGGACCGGGCCAATGTGGAAATCACCACAAATAAAATAGACATCAGAAAATAGACATCAGAACTGGAGGTGAATCTGAAGACCAGGCCTAACGATAAAGGTGCAAGGACCACGCCAACACACCTTCCTGAGGGATAAGGAACTTGAGATTGCGCTGTGACCAATATCACCCAGCCCAGTGAATTCCACTTTGGCATCCGTGCCTACGTTGGTGACCAGAACCTCTGGACCCAAATACTGCAGCCTTCTCCCATGTACCCCATTACATAACCAGCTTCCCTAATGGAACAATATTAGCTAAGCAGCTGTCTTTGTAATTCTATAGGCTGATTGCAGTTTGATTCCTATGGTGAATTTGCTGTATTAATTACCCAACAAAGGGTTCACACCTGTTTGGCTCCTAAACCCCAAGTGCAAACCTCTAGTATTATTTCACCTGGAGTCCTCCTAGGAAGCAAGCTTCCATCAGGACAAAGTCCGAGTGTCTAAGGGCTGGGAAGCTCTATCCCCCTTTCCTTCAGCTCTGAAATATAAAGGGGAGCAAAGCCATCTGGGACTACAACACAGGAAGCTTAACAGAATTCAAAAGCTGCAAATTTGCATGTTAAAAATCAAGGGTGGGTACAAGAGTATCAGAGTTATGGTCTTTGTAACAGGGCTGATCTTTCTACACATCATCCTACTCCTGCTGCAGGACATTCACCTGACCACCACCAAAAACAGAAAGCTGGCTGTTTCTTCTCTGGCAAACCAAATCCAGGCACTCAGTAAGCATCTGTGGAAGGACTAAATGAATCAATGATGGCACAAGTGCAAAAATCAATCAATAATTTAAAAGCAAAACTAAAATTAAATCCTCTCATGTGCTAGTGATGATTAACTCAACAACTGGCTGTTTCTTGGCAACTGCAATTTTCAGAATGAGAGCAGATGGCTTTCCACATCCTGTGTTTGGAGAAAACAGGTTTTAGAGGAAGCAGGCTCAGTTCCAATCCAGGTGGACAGGTATACAGCCTTGTTTTTATTCAATGAATACTTACAGCCTAAGCAAGTTATGAAATTGCTGCCACGGCCATAAATGAAATGCTGCCTCTTTGTTCTCTGTGAAAAAGGATGCTCAAGCCCAAGGAAATGTAGGGGCAACAGTACTACTTAGCTGTTTGGTTTTGAAAAAGTCACCCCTGTGGACATAGCTTAGCTGTTACATAACCATGAGTTAAGACTGAACTAGGAATTTTACTCTGGATGAAGCATTACTCTCTTTGAGAATTTAATTTTATCAACGCTTTCTTCTAAAAATGTACACCCACAATTTTGCAGATAAATTTCTGGCGATTAAGAACTAGAATTTTTCACGAGTCACTTCTTTTCCCCCATGATTTAACCTGAATGTTAGGTCTTTTTTTTTTTTTTTTTTTTTTGAATGTTAGGTCTTCTAAGCTCTGTGATTGGTTCCACCAATTTCTACTTTTTAGGTAAAAAATCACTTTGAGGCACATACACGGTTCCTACACAATGATTTTCATTCCATAGGTTACAATGACAGCGCATCAAAAGATACAATCGTTTCTCCAAACGCAAACACGAATTAAAACACGCCCCAAATTAAATACCGAAGACGACCCGGAACGCCGGAGAAAAGAGCGCAAGCATGGGAAAGATTTTATTACAGTTCAAAGGAGGCATTTAAGACTTGCCGTGGACGGATGCACCGATCCCTGCTTATCAAGTCGACCTGCGACGGCGTCGACATAACTATTCGAGCTGATACCACCCTATTGAGAGTTTGTAAGGAAGTGTAATTTGTTACACATGCTTCCATCTCTGATCTGATGAAAACCTCGAGTGTAAAAGGCTATTTTGCTTTTTTCAAGCCCCTAAGCCGGGATAGCACGGGGAGAAATCGGGCGAAACGAGAGACTTCCTTCTAGATCGCTCACCACGGTGACCCGCGTCCTCCCTAAATCAGGCAGCTCCTTCCAGCCCTCTGGTGGGAGGACCTCCTTCTGCCCAAGGACGAGTCAGCTCGTGGTCCGATCTGGATCCGACCCGAGGAAGGAGCGGCTGCCGCGCGGGAAGCTCTCGGCCAAGGATCCCGAATTCAATCTCGCAATGCGTGCCGGAGCCTACGAACTCGACACTAACGCGACTCAATCCCACTCCTTTCTCTGTAGCTAAACAAAGGCTCCTTCTACGCCTTCTTGCACAAAAAAGAGAACTTTTAACTCCCTCTCCGAGGGCCCCAGACACCCACTAACCTCACCGCACCGCCAGATGCCCCAGCCTGCTAGGCCGTAAGCTGGCCCCGCCCTCCCTAGGCTTTCCGGAAATGGGGGCCTCGCGCGAAGGATGTCCCGCCCCGCTTCCCCAGACTCGCCGGCTCGGGGCTTCCTAAAATTTGCCTGTTTACACCCATTTTTTTTTCATTGTAATGAGAAACTCCTCTTGTGGAGTTCTTTTTTATTCTCTGCCTGGAAGGTTTACAGCGCTGAAATCGTTTCCTTGTTTACAGGCGGCCCTGCGATGTGACGTACAATTTGGGCGCCGGCACAGCAAGGCCCCCTCCTTCCCTTCGGCTTCCGGTTCTGTCAACCCGGCGCCGTGCCGGATTCCCGGGTGAGGCACGTGTGCTGCTGAATGGAGCTGGTGGCCGGCAGCTACGAGCAGGTCCTTTTTGGGTTCACTATACACCCGGATCGTAAGGCGAACGGCGACCCCGAGGTGAGGTTCGGCGAGCGGAGGGGTTCCCAGAGAGGGGCAGGACGGCCTGTTCTGCATCTGCATGGCCGCGGTGAACGTCTTGGCAGGTGCTGTGTGTTGGGTGATGTCCTGAGTTACTTGATGAACCGTTCTCGGGCTTTGAGTGAAAAAATAGACCGTTTAAACACGGAGTAGGCATTTTGCAAAGTGTCACGCGGTACTGTAGTTAACAATTGGTGTATTCGTCACCCAAAACATTTATCGTGTTTTTGTGTTGGAAACACTCAAAATTCTCTTTACTGGCGATTTTTGTGTGTGTGTGGTCTTTTTGGGACAGGGTCTCGCTATGCAGTTCAGGCTGGCCTTAAACTCACTTTGTAGCCCAGGCTGGCCTCAAACTCACGATAATCCTCCTGCCTCAGCCTCCCGAGTGCTGGGATTGTGGGCATGCTCCACCACACCCCGCTTTACTAATCGTAATTTGAATTGCACGATTAATTGTGGTCCGTCAGTTATCCTGTTACTCCATAAAACTTTGGAAGTCGTTTCTCTTCAGCTGTACACCTGAACCCATGAATCCTCTGCCCATCTCCTTAGCTTTTTAGTTCCCACTGTTAAGCTGTCTACTTTTGGGAAGTCTTTTTTGGTTTCCTCCAAAGGTATTTTCTGTTTTTATAAAATGAGAATAACTAGGAGTTGTGTGTGATGGTGCACACCTGTAATTCCGGCCCTTTGGAGGCTAAGGCAGGAGGATCACCACGAGTTCGAGCTCAGCCTGAGTAGTGAGTCCAAGTCACCAGACAGCCTGTCTCCAAAAGAATAAAGAGAAAAATAACTACATTTGCTTCACAGAAAGAAGGTCGCTGTGAAAACTACTGTTTATGTGGAATATAGTAGTTTTATAATAATGAAGTCACTTTGTAGGAGATGCAGTACCTCTAATTGCTTCAGGAATAAAATAGTCGTGGTCTAGAAGTCAAGAGATCAGAAACCTCGGTATTGTCTTATCTACCACTTCCACTGTGTTGGTAGTGTACTTTTTTATTCTCCCATCTAGGAAAGTACTTACCATGTTCTGTACTTTCTCTCTGTGTCACGTGTGTCACTCATAGCATTACTGTGTTAGGAAAGTCTTTAGAGCCAGATCCACCGCTCTGGGGAGTTTTTGCCCTCCCTGTCTACCTATGTTAAGTTCCCAGTAAATAAATGTGTATTAAGTTCCCAATAGGTAAATATGTATTATTTTCTTTACCTAAGCCAGATTGATGCTGATCATAAGCCCTAGTATTTCGTAAACTACTGGATAAATTTAGTAAAAGAGCAGGCTGATTTTTCATTAGATCTCAAATACCCACACTGGCTGTTGACTTGGATCTAAGTTCATTTTCCCACGTGCATAAGTGCCAGCTTCCTACATACAAGGGGAACATTTTTGTGACTTTGTTTTTGACATGTAATAATTGTACATATTCTTGGAGTACACTATGATATTTCAGTATTTGTATACATCCTATGATTGTCAGAGTAGTTGATTCTCTAGGATTTATACTGATTAATAATGGGAGCACCCGGCATAAGCCTTGCAAGCAGGCAGTCGTGAGTTCGATCCCTGGTACCGATAAAAACGAAAAAAAAAAAAATGGAAGCATCTATATTGTTTTTCTGAATAGGACTTGTCATACCTGTCTCTGTGTAACATCATATTAATTCATTTCATCTCTCCCGTTGGTATGGAAGCTCCATTGGAGTAGGAGCTTCTTGTTCCCTGCTGTGCATCAGCTGCCTAAAGTGGCGCCAACCATGTGGTTGAAGTCATCATGTGTCCCAGACTGGCCTTAGACTTGAAGCAACCCTCCTACCTCAGCCTCCTGAGCACTGGGATTACAAGTGTGTGCCACTGTACTCGACTCTGACACTTTTTCAATGAAAAAGGTTCCAGTGAAAATTTGCACAGCTGAATGAGTGATGTAGAAGTCTCTCACATGAGTAAATAGGTTAGAGCGGGTAGACTTCAGTGCCTGCCGCATCTCCTGGCTCTGGAGTCAGGACACCCAGCCTTGCTTTCCCGCTTCCTTCCTTACTCGCTTTTTGAGTTCTTTGCTTTAATCTGTGCATCACTGCACAGTGCATTTCCCATTTGTGGGGCCCACTGGTAGTTTTTATGGGTAGATGATGTTGCTGGGCATCTGTGGCACGACGGTGGTGTTGATCGGATGCTTTGCTCTTCAGCAGAAATGGACCTCGGTGGCCGACTTCACTCACCACGCCCACACTGCCTCTTTGTCGGCCGTGGCTGTGAACAATCGTTTCGTAGTCACTGGCAGCAAAGATGAAACAATTCATATATATGATATGAAAAAGAAGACAGAACATGGGGCCCTAGTTCATCACAACGGTAAGGACTGGAGGAGTTATTCAGTATTTTGACTTCAGTTGGACTTTTATTATATGTCTACTATATGGCGTGTTTTTTGTTAGGAGATTCAGGCTGTTCACAGACCTGTTGGGGTACAGACAGGGTCTTCTCTGTATTTTAGTGTCATTCACCTCACAACCTGGGCACACCTAAGACCTTAGGTATATAGGACTAATGTCACCAGATGTGAGATGGTCTTGTTGTGGGTGTAGAACCAGACCAAATGGAAGACACAGCACCAGAGGAGCATTGGAAAACATACAACCTTATTACGCTAGCCAGCTGAAGGGAATCTCAGTTCCAAATCATCAACCCTGAGCCAGCTTTGGTTGGTTTATATAGGTTTGCAAGCAGGAAGTATATAAGGCAGATAACATAATATCCTACAGTTGGTTACACATACCGTTATCATTAATTGCTAGGCAGACTGACTTGTACAGAATCAGCGACTACATGAGGTTACTAACACAGGGGAAGAGCACATCGTTGTCTGGGACCAGGCAGAGGCCTTGGGACTCTGCCGGACTTGGAAGTCAGAGAAACATTTCTTCCTGGCTGAGCTGCTCTTACCTTGCAGTTGGCACCCAGAGTGTCAAGGCTCGTTAAGTTTGCAGCTTTCTAACAGTGGGAACAGGCTGTGTCTCCTGGTCTCATCCTTGAACAGTGTTAGAGATATGTTTAGTATTAGAAACACAAGTTTTAGAATCTTTTCTATATTAAAATAGCTCCTACAATCACAGAGTAGCAATTCCCACCCACAGTGGGGTTTCCCACACTGATGGTAAAGTTGCCTAGCAGAATTAAGGGGTAGAAAAACTATCGGTAATTTTCCCCCCTTGGAACTGAAATTTTTATGCTGTTTTCATTGCATTTTCAAGGGACAGATATGAAGGGCTCAATATGTGTTCAAGGGTAAAAAGCAAAGGAGAGGTCACAGCTCGATGTGTCGTAATGCCAGCACTCTGGGCCCTGACTGAGGATGTGTGTCTCAGTGTGAGGGTCCCAGTTCAATCCCCAGGACCACCAAATAGGTGTTTAGTTTTGGGGAACTTCGGGAGGTTGGTGTCCTGAAACGAAAGGTACACTATCTTTTACATATTTCAAAGGTTCTGTAGCAAGCATTGCTTTCTAGCACTAACTTTAGAATGATAAATGTTTGCCTATTATATGGTTGGTAGACACTTCAACAAGTGTTTTGCTCTTCAACAAAAACTGGGCTTTGAGTGATTTCAACATAACAATCCTTTTTCCCTCTTTTCATTAAGAAAGGCTTCTTTGTCTATTAGGCCCTCAAGAAACAAGTTACATGAATCCAGTGTGTTCTAGTTCATTAATATTCAACAAGAAGAGAAGAACCTAGACATTAGATGGGGGATGAATGAAGCCTGCTTCCTGGTTTCCTGCAGTGCTTGTATAAATCTGTTTTTTTAACAGCTGGAAACAGATACGCTCTTTTTCAGGGAGCAGATGGAGTCCGGGGCAGAGGGGACAGAAGGTGTGGGAAGGCAAAACTTGCAGAGATAGGATGTAAGGAAAGAGCAAAACAGCGGCAAAGGCAGTTACTGGCGTCTGCTTTAAGAAGGTGATGCACAAACCCACACACATCTTAGCACCTTTGTTGGCTGCAAAGTGATTCAAGAGCTTTGGCTCTTTCAATAAAAAGTGTAAGAACTGTGTCTTAACTTTGCTTGTTACTGAGACAGAATACCTGATACCCAGAGTTAGAGGGAGAAGATTTATTTAACTCATAGTTTGTAGAGGTTCAGTCCATAGCTGGCTTCAAGGCCGGGTGGCACTGCAGAGGGGCAGCCTTTCATGGCGAAGACAGCAAGAGCAACAAGAAGTGGGTACAAGACTCCCTTTGTCCCTTACATTGTGTGTAGGCTCCTGGCCCTAAGGCAGGTGTAGCCCTCATACCCTTGATTGTAGCCAGAACTGTGCCAAACCAGACAGTGGACTGATTCACTAATGACACACCCATAATCTCAGCATCACACCCTATCTAGCCACCTCTGAAAAAGCCCTGGCCCACATAAGGCTTTGGTGGGATCCAGACACAAACTGTAACAGATTGGGAGGTGCATGGGGAGAGAATATTGACCCAAGGGTTTCATTTGTGTTCTGGAAGGCACCACACGGTAAATAGGCTTTGTGGGCCGTGTGGCCTGCATTACAGTTGCTCAGCTCCATCACTGTTGTGTAAAGTAGCTCTGTATGTTTGGACTGAAAAAACTGGCTGTTTTCCAGTAAACTTATATTTGAAGAAACACAAGCAGCCAGAGCCGGCTCGGCAGGCAGTAGATGGTAGACGGCTGAGCTGTGGGCAGGTACACTGAATGCACAAATTTGACTGATGGCTAATGGTTGTATAGGGACTGCTGTGGGGCTAGAGGGATGGGATGCTGTGTGACCCACAGGGGAGATTTGGGAGCTTCAGTGTAACTGTCCTAGCAAGTTCTCACAACAGTGAGTGAGAAGCGAACAGATGGCCAGTCCCCACAGCTCCGCGCAGACAGCGGCTGGGTTGTGGCTGACAGTCACAAGCCCTGTGCTCCGAAAGCGGCAGTCAAGGCTGTGCACCTGGATCTGTTCCCCAGGTAGACTGATGGAGCCGGTCATCTCGGCAAAGTCCAGCTCAGATACCTGAGCCACCTCGCCTCACTGCTGACAGGGGCGCAAGACAAGCTGCCGAGCTTCAGTCTATGTCTGCTCTGAACGACACCCCGCTGGTGCTTTGCTCCCTGCAGCTGGGGCTTCCCACTGGAGGCGGTGCTGGGTTGAGATCGAATGTAACGCTGCCGCTCTTGGTTTTCCTACAGGCACCATAACTTGCCTGAAGTTCTACGGCAGCAGGCACTTAATCAGCGGAGCCGAAGACGGGCTCATTTGCGTGTGGGACGCGAAGAAGTGGGAGTGCTTAAAGTCCATCAGAGCCCACAAGTGAGTCGGCTCCTTCCCGCCGCCCGCTCCTGCACCGTGCGCGCCGCAACTAACTGTTGGTTTCATTCTAGAGGACACGTGACCTTTCTGTCCATTCACCCGTCTGGCAAGTTGGCCCTGTCCGTGGGCACAGATAAGACACTGAGGTAGGTCGCTCACGCCCGCAGGTGTCTACCAGCTCAAGTCGTTTGCCTGGTTATTAGATACTGTTTCTGTGTTGTTGCACAGTTCTCAGCCACCTGCAGTCCTGATACCAGGGAGAGGCAGAAGGAAAGCTGATGGCCTCTTTCAGGATGGAAGTGCTCACAGTGACCTGTGTTCACACCTGTGCCCACGCTCCTGTCCTAGCTGTGAGCCACAGGAGACAGTGGGCTTCCCAGGAAATGGCTTAGCGGGTGAAAGCTTCTGAAAATACAACAGGCAGGACTTACTAACGGTGTGTGGGAATGAATGACCTTCACATCTGTCAGGTAGCGCTCTGGGAGGCCAAGGAAGGAGGACTGTGGGTTCGAACCTAGCCTGGGGAAGCTACTGAGACCCTGTCTCAAAATTTAAAAAAACAGTGGGCTGCGGCTGTACCTTAGTGCAGAGGCCCTGGGCTCAATCCCCGATATTGACAAGAAGACAGAAAATCAAGATGTTGCTGTTAGAAAACTGGCAGGTTCTTAATAGCCAGGTTGGTAAAACTGTCATTCACTTTGTATATGCTTTTCTTAGTCAATTGATGATCGTGCCAAAAGCAAGCTTCTTGTTTTACAGAACATGGAATCTTGTGGAGGGAAGATCAGCTTTCATCAAAAACATAAAACAAAGTGAGTGTTTTTCTTCAATAAAGTAATGAAACATGACCGCTCACAAACACATGGTGTGTATGTGTACACAGGTTTACTTCCTGTATGCCGGTGCTGCTGCCTGTGAAAGGTGTTTCCAGTTACTTGCTTTTCCCATTTTACAGCAGTTCCCCTCGTGGCTCTGCGTGAGCAGCACTGTGGTTTTCAGTCTTCTGAGTAAACTTGCAGCATGTGTACCGTGAACTTGTGAAGATCAAATAGGAAAGTGGATATGAAAATGCATGGTGTGAATATTTGCTATTATTATTACTCTGTGTATAAAATACATCTTGCTTTTATACCTGCAGGTGCTCACATAGTGGAATGGTCCCCGAGCGGGGAGAAATACGTCGTCGTCATCCTGAATAAGATCGATGTCTACCAGCTGCACACCGCGGCCGTCAGCGGCACCATCACTAATGAAAAGCGGGTTTCCTCCATCGCGTTTCTCTCCGTGAGTTCTCAGACATGTGAGTTTGTGTTGGTCATCAGGCCTGCCACGGATCCTGGGCACCTTCCTGTTCTCACTCCTAGGACTCTGTCCTCGCGGTGGCTGGAGACGAAGAAGTAGTGAGGTGTTTTGACTGTGAATCACTGGCGTGCCTCTGTGAATTTAAAGCGCACGAAAACAGGTATTTACCCGTTTTCTCTGTGTGTATGTGTGGAGAATGCTACACACGTACAGGCAACAGTCTCAGAAAGCAGAGTGCTCTTATAACAGCTGCACAGACCATTAGAAGTGTGTACGCAGCATGTTGCTGTATTCCTGAACTTCATGACACAGAAGTGATGGCTGTGGTTAAGACCGACCACTGGGACTTTTCACTTAAACCTGTCAGACTTGGAGCTTGAAATCAGGCCTATTTGAATAATAAAAAACAACAGGGCTGGGTGTGTTTGCCTGGCAGGGAGGAGGCGCTGGGTATCAGCCCGCTACCACCCGAGACCGAGGCTCTAGAGCATCTCCCTTTGTTTCAGCCTCTCTCCTTCCCTGTGGCCACTTCTTTCTTTCAGTGCCTTTTCTCTCTGCAACATAAGTGAGGTAACGAGCATCTCAACTCTCAGTGCTTCCCGTAGCCTAGGGAGTAGATACTGGATCTCAGCGAAAGTAGTTCAGGATTACTGTGCTCCCAGTGACCGAGTGTCCAAGCCAGCTCCTCAGACTTAAAAGATGGCTTTTTCCACCAGTGGAAAACGTGCTAACATCCAGAGTTAAGCTTCACTGTGTGTTCTTGTTCTTCTTTGTCTCAGATACTCTTATTTTCCAAAGAACTTTCTTTTTACAGTCCCTGGGATTGAACCTCGGCATTCGTCCCATTAGGGCCTGTCCTCATCCCTGTCCCCATCACTTCCTCTGCTGAGTGTTACTGTAAGCAGATTCCTACTTTTGTGGGTTTTAAGCCTAAAGTAACATGATTTGACTTCATTGAAAAGCTGTTAGGGAGCAAAATGGCAGCAGAAAGGCCAGTGGGCGATCTTCATCAGCCAGGGAGGAAAGGTGCTCGGACGCGGTGGTGCCTCGGAGGGGGGCAGGTGGTTGCTGGAAGGGGCCTTCATTCTCGGTTTGTTCTTTGCCCGTGGACCTGTGGATGCCTGCGGCCAGGGGCTTTGGTTTAGCCGTCCTTACTTGCTTTGAGATCACCCAGTTAGTTACAGGTGTCTTCACGTTTCCTCACGACATGGCTGGCAGTCAGTCTTGCTGTGCTTGCCTGCACGTGACTTACCAGCTGACAGGCGCAGGAAGCACAGTTATGTATTACAACACCATCGAGCAGTTGGGAAACGCTTGAAGCATTGAAAAAGCAAAAGACACAGAAGTGAGCGTAGAGGTTTTTGTTTTTGCTTTATGCATAGTTTTATGATGATACTACGTGGTTTGGAACTGATGATGTTTTGTGGCATTACTATTTCTATTCTAGGGTAAAAGATATGTTCAGCTTTGAAATTCCAGACCATCATGTTCTTGTTACAGCATCGAGTGACGGTTTCATCAAAATGTGGAAGCTTAAGCACGATAAGGTCAGTGCCTTGGTGTGGGGTAAGCACACTCGCACCCGGGTTTGCTGCCGGTATTTTTTTGACATAAATCTTTAAGCTTTTTGAAATTTCCAGGCATGATTGATATTAACAGTTTTAAAGTCAGGGTGCCCAGAGAGCCACCTGGGGGATGGCATTCGTGACTGTGAGCTGACAGCAGTCACCCTCCACGCTTGTCAGCAAAGATTTACTTGCCCTTTGGGATTTGGGGGTCACCATGAGATACCAGGTAAAAACCCCACCGTCACCACACAAAATCTACAACGTCCTGAGTGACTGTGGAACTCTTTCATTCCCTGAAGTCTCTGAGAGTCTCAGTTTGTTGTTCCCTATTCTCCAACACAGTCTCTGAATGTTGTTTGTCGATACTGCTTTGCACAAGCTTCTTTGGTTATTTAGGCCCTGGAAATGAGTGAGAAATAGTCCATGGCCTTAGAGTTTGTCACATCTGGACATATCTCAAATTGGCCTGTAAACAGTATCGTCAAACCAGTCATTAATCAAGAGCATAGATGACTTCTGGACCTCATGTCGCTGTTCAGGGAAACAGATGAGCATCACTTCTTGGCAGCGTCATCCCTGAGAACACGGTGGAGGGTGCTCACCCTGACGTGCTGCCTGCAGCTGTGCACTGTAGGCTGTGTACACACGTCTGTCAGTGACTGACACTGCTCTCCCGGGCACGGCTGTAATAAATTTCAAGTGAGGGTAGCTTGGTTATGGAAAAAGAAAAGTACTCCGAATTCCCTTGTTACCTACGTTATGTTTTTCTCCCCTCTGCTTTTAGAGCGTCCCGCCGTCTTTACTGTGTGCAGTCAGCACTCAGGCCAGGCTGACCTGTCTCGGGGTGTGGATAGACAGAGCGGCAAACACAAAAGCGGGCCTGTGTCCTCCAGCGGAGCCCTCTCCCGGTAAATGAGGCCGGTCGGGTGTTACAAGTGGTCACTCCCAACCTTCTTGGTCGATGAAAAGGGAATGCTGTCCAGATAGCGTCACTGCTTTGTCAACCTCTGTGTATTTTCCACAAAAGAGGGGGAAACATCTTTAAATGCACTGTGTCTTGTGTTTTAGTAAGTGAGGAAGAACAGACCAGGACCAGCCAAAAGGAACCTGGTGACGTGGGCCAGGAAGGGGCAGCGTCCAAACCGAAGTCACAGAAACGTGCCTTAGCTGGTGGCAGCGCTAAGCCAGCCACAGGGAGCAGCCCTGGGCCAGAGAAGAGGAAGACAGGGGAAATGCTGGAAAAGAAGAGAAAAAAGAAGAAAATATAATGTACAATGAGCCCCAGATTGCTCCTCCAAAGGACTCATTTAGATGAAATAACTATTTTCAAATACATCTAAATTTTTTACTATTTCTGAGTAAAAGCAAGGAATATTTTCTTTGGAAGAAAATGAGTAGCCTTTAAAGAAACCACTTTTAGGTGAGTTGTTTTTAACTGGTAAAATTACTTTTGACAGATGAAGTAATGGGCTTGGGTTGGTCCTGCACCCGTAGTCTCAGGCAGGCGGGGCAGGGGGACTGAAAATTTGAGCCCAGCCAGGGCAACTGCATGACTTAGAGAGAACCTGTGACAGCAGCAACAAAAAACCAAAACCAAGGGTTGGGGGTGGTGGCCTAGTGTGAAGCCCTAGGTACTTTGCCAGCCCTGCCTCCCCCAGGAGAACGTCACTCATCGCGGCAGTTTATCATTGTAAAGTATAATTTTTGATGTGCAAAGTAAAGGTCTCCCTCCATTCTCAGTGTAACTTAAAACAATAGAAAATCTTAAAGCTTGTTGGTGTGATGCTTTTGGGGCCTTTCATATGGTAGGTAGGTCCTCTTCCGAGCCACCCCTCAGTCCTACAGCTACTTTGTTTTTTTAATCACAGAGGGATGGCAGTTATTTTTCATTCTGCTTCTACTCAGTGGCTGACAAGACAGTTGAAGGGCAGGGAAATAGAGATATTTCCCATTACTTTCTCAGCCCTTTCATCAGAAAAGCTAAAGAGGGCTTAAAATTAGCCTGTGATGTTACCTAGAGAGGGTAAGCATTTTTCTCAATCACTAGACATTCTGCAAAAGTGCAGTAGTACTAGATATGTCCATTTGAATTAGCTTGGAGAATGGCTTTAAGATTAGACAACGAGGTGTCAGCATCTGGGCTCTGGAAACGTCACTTACAAGGAAGTTGCCTGAACCTACTTCTGTGCCAGACTTTTCCCACTACCCTTCACCAGGTGATTTCAGGCCTCTAAACAAAAATTCTCTAAATTCAACTATTTTTTTATTTTGTGGTAACTACAGATTGGCACACAGACGTAAGAAACAGGAATCTGATGTCCCTAAATACGGCACAGTATCACAACACTGATGGAGCAAATGACAATAGGAAGATACAGAACATTGCTTTCATCCTCAGGGATTGCCTGGGAGTGCAGCTTCCGGTTCCTGGGGTGTTTCCTGGTTAGCTCTTTAAGAAGAAACCAGAGTTCTAGAACAGCTGTGTGATTTTACATTTCTACCGGCAATGTGTACGTGATACACTTTCGGCATCTTTCCAGTAGTTTGTGTCACTCTTGGTCATCCTGTTTCCTGGAGAGAGTCGCAGGAAGGCTACTGGGGCGGAGGACCGTGGTACACGCATGTAACTTGGGGTTTAGGGAACATGGCTCCTCCACTAGGCCCGAGCTCTACCTGTGGCTTCTGCTTGCTGTGGTTTTTTCCACTTGCTTCTCCCTGTGGGGTTTAAATGACTTTGTAGCTGCAGTTCCAGCCCGAGCCTTTCTGTCCAGCGGCTCCTGGGGCCGCAGCTCAAGTCAGATCGCACAGTTCACACTCAGAATTTCACTATGAAGCCTGACCCCGAGAGCCAGTGGACACTTTTCCCCGTCCTCTGGCTGTGGTGCAGGTGAGTCGACCTGACCCGCACCGTCCCTCGCACTGTTTGGCTCCGTGCAGTTAGCTCAACAAGTTCAGTACTTCCAGAAGCTGCTTAGTCTCATTTAGCAGCAGAAAGTGGGAGGGGCAGGGTGAACCCCAAGCAGCCTGTGATCTGCAAGATGACTCTGCAGGTCATCTTGCTTCTGTCTGCTGACCCACCCTCATTCCTGACTTCATCTGCTGATCCACTCAGGACACGTTTATTGATAAAGCGTCTCTGTCTGTCTGTCTCTCTGGTGTATTTTGTTTCTTTGAGGCAGGGTCTCACAAATGTAACCCAGGCTGTCGTTGAACTTGCAGAGATGCTTCTGCCTCAGCCTTCCCAGTGCTGAGATTATAGAGTTTATTTTGATTGTGGAGGTGGTAGAGATTGAATCCAAAGCTTCACACATGATAAACAAGCCCTCTCCCATTGAAGCACACTGCCAACCCCTAGGTTGCAGCTGCCAGTGGAAGATCAAGGAAGGCTTACAGGACGTGAGGGAGTGAGCAGAGAAGGTTCCAGGCACCTGAAGGAGCACTTTGGAGGAAGAAGTCCGTGGCAACAAAAACAGGGAAGGGAGCAGGCACTGAGGCTGGGGGTCCATGTGCAGGCTTTGCAAGCCAAAGCTTGAGGGAAAGGCGCCACCAAAGGCTTTTCTGGGCACAGGAAAGAACTGGATTTGAACCTAGGTCTGAGAACAGACTGAAGGATTACAGCACTTGGGAGCTCCCTCTGATCTCCACGTGTGGATCAGGAAACAGTCTTAGTCCTCCTGAGTGGGACTGCTGTAAAGGCTGGATGGATGCTCTTCAGTTTCCAGTATACAGTCGCCCGGCATATGCCTTTGCTAATGCTCTTACAGCTCTGATACAGGAGATGGAGAAGTGCCTGGCAATAGGGAAGGCTGACAAAATGGGGAATTTCTTCATAATCTTACTTAGTAATTCCTTGGGAAAAGGTGTATTGAATGGATGATCTTGGTTTCTAATAAAGCTATAAACTATTAAAAGAAGTGGCTAATTGTTGACACTGCCATACAAGGCATGTGAGAACTTGCTTCAGTGCCAGTGGAGATTAGAACCAAAGCAACAGGCAAAAGCTTTAAGGAAGAGAAAATAGGGAGAGACGTGTGGCGGTGCACGCCTCTAATCCCAGCACTTAGGAGTGAGTTCAAGGCCATCCCGACCTACTATAAGACCCTGTTTCAGAGAACAGGAGGGAAAGAAAGAAAAAACAGAAAAGGGATTTCATCTTTCAAGTCTGGTGGAGAGGATCAGACAGGTCTGTTAAGCAGAGATCAGGACTGGCTTTTATGCTTCCCTGGGATGGACTAGCCGGTAACTTGCCATTGGGTCCTAGTGTGACCTCATTTTTAGGGGACAGATGTCATATTACAGTTCTTTAAGGAAAACACAGAAATGATACCACAAATCGTAAAACAGCTGGTGTGGCTCAACGGCTGTACATGCTTCTTGTACACACCAGCAAGGGGGTACTTGGAGGATTTCCATGTTCAAATCCACCAGACCCCAGCCCCACCACACACCAGAAAGCCAGGCTGAGCCATGTCTTCACACTCCTGCCTGCTTCAGTTCCTCAAACTGAAGCCCTCTTATTTTTTTCTTTCATTAGAAGACCAGCTTTTTTTAAATTTTTTTTTTTTTGATACTTGGAATTGAAACCAAGGCATTGACACTAAGTGACATCTCCAATCTTAAGTCTTTTTTATATTTTATTTTGACTCGGGGCCTTGTCAAATTACCCAGGCTGGGCTCAAATTTGTAATGCTCCTGCCTCAGCCTCCCAGCATAATGGTGATACAGGAAAATGAAACTCCAACCTACTATATGTCCAGTATGAGTTCATGTTCTCTAAAATTGAATAAATTTTAGCAACAACGGAAGTTATCAGTAGGAATATGTATTGAGAGAAGATAAGCTTCTGTCTGAGAGAGAAGGGGTCCTGAATGGGTTGCCAAAGATTCTGTATTTTCTTGGGATTTTTATAAAATAAGATCAGGTAAGGCGGGTCTAAAATTGGCAAAAACGGGGAACTCACAAAGCAGATGGGCATGAAGTGGGACAGAGCTATGGTCAGTAAGATTAATAGCTCAGATAAAATTGATTAAATTGGGAATAAATGGGGAGGCAAGTCACTGTAGAGGGCAGGCATTCTTAGAGAGCAGTGACTTTTCCCTAGGGATTGGAATGGTGTCTCCTGACTTCTCAAAGTGACCCCAGGCTCGATCCCTAAGGATTATAGTTAAGGGTGTGGTGGTTTTGTCTTCTGTCCTGAGATCTGGCCCACAGCAAGAGGTGTGTGTTCCCTCCAAGGCCACCAGACATCTGGTCCTCTGTGCCAGCTCCGCAAGGACCTAGCCCTGTCTGACTGCCTAGAACATTTCTAACAGCTCACCTGCCTGTAACAATGGCATTACAGGCGTGTAGCACCTCTTCTGGCTCTGTCTTGATGTTTGTCCGAGTTGTGTCCCACTCCACTTTGGAGGAGAGGAAGTCGGGGTGCTGTCCATCTTTGGTGTAGAACTGAAAAAATGGTCGTGCAAGAAATGCAGGGGAGAGCGGTCTGTAATTGGAGTAATGTCACTGGCCTTGGGGACCACAGCGGGAGTTGGGAACTGTCTTAAACTACCTTTAAGATGCCTTTCTAGAGCCTCGTTTTCTGCAATGCAAACACCGACGCGAGCTTAGCGTCTCTCCCGTGCCGCCCCATTCCCTGCAAGTCCTGTGTTCACACTCTCCCTACGCGGTCCGCATCTGGCTTGCACCTGAGCACTGCGTCTCCGCTCACGCGACCCCCGCCCGCACCTCCAGCCTTGCCCAGCTTCTCCAGCTCCGACCAACGTCAAACTGGGCATCCGGGTTTCTGGCTGTCGGCCGCCCCTGTTCGGCCCCGCAGCTGCTCCGTCTGCCAGGCGCCAGCCCCAACCCGACCTTAACTTTCAGCCCTAATCCCTGCCCCGGGGACATGGAGCTTGCGCTGAAAGGTCCCCAGCCCCGCCTCCGTAGCCCCGCCCTGTAGATGCTGGGCCTATCCGCGAGTCGTCACCCGAGGCTCCGCCCTAAGACACGCCCATTCCGGGGGCCCTGAGAGCGCCGCGTACTGGACTTCAAGCCCCGCCCCACTTCGCTCGGGACGCAGAGCTTTCACCTCGCGGGTCCTGGCGGTGGTCTGCACATTGGTCCGGGTCCCTGCGGCTGCTCTCCGTCGCCCACGGTGCGCAGGCCTTCTTCTCGGGAGCTCCTCGGGAACCTGAGGTCTGTTGGTTTATTCCGATTTTGATTTTAGGAGTGATTGGAGAGGTCACTGCTTTCTGTCTGTCTCTCTGGGCCGGAAGGGCTGTAGGCCGCGTCGTGCTGCTTGCTTTTCATGTCGCGCATTTTCCTTTAAAATAAGTCGAGAATCCCGCGGAATCCTGAGCTCTGCAAATGCTGCACGGAGCAATCCGGCCCTGGTTCGCTTCCTGGAGCTTTTAGGGCTCTCGAGTTTAGTGCTGGACTGGCTTCAAATTCACGATCCTAAGGCCTTCGCCCCTGTCCTACTAGGGAAACGGAACGGGTGGGCGCCGGGCGAGCTGGGCACCGAATCCTGTTCTGGAAGAGCAGAGATCCTTTTCCAAGAGTGCAGTGTGGTCACAACGCGAGTTTCCGTATATTTTATGCTCTCTTACCCGCAGGCTACCAACAGTTTTAAATCAGATGCAAATTGGTAAAGTTTTGTAAACGCTGAGTACTGAAGTAGTTTGTTTCCCGGGGCAGAAATGAAAGGCACGTGTTCTCCCTCGAGACCTCAAAGATCATTGAATTAGCGGCCCAGAGACTTTGCTTTGTGATAAAGTGATAACCTGGTTAAAAGGTTAATTCGATCCCCTATTTTAGGATTCTTGTTAGAAAAACAGGCTGGGTATCTGTCTACCATTTACTGTGTGCTAAGCACGTTTACTTATTCCTCCAGTGAATGCTGGCCACAGCCCCAGGAGGCTTGTACTTGTTTTAATTTCATCATGGCAGTGAAGGGACCTGAGGCCTTGGGAGGTTGTGCAGCCTAGGAGCTGGAGGTGAAAGCACTGCAGAGCTATGCTAGTAAAGTCCTTTGATCTATACCCCTCTGCAGGTGCAGGCCTGGTGTGATCTGCTGCCTGGACACAGAGAACAATGCGGAAGGAAGCTGGCCCACTGTAAGCACAGTAAATGGACAGGGAATGAGGAGTGGGAGGATCACTGGACACATTGGTCAGAGACCCACATTTGAGTCCCTGCTCTGCCAACTCAGTGCTTGGGTGATTTGGCAAGAAATCCAGCCTAGGGGCTGGGGACTTAGCTCAGTGGCATAAGCGCCTGCCTTGCAAGCAGGCAGTCCTGAGTTCGATCCCCGGGACCAATAAAAAAGAAAAAGACAAAAAAAAAAAAAAAAAAAAAAAAAGAAATCCAGCCTTTCTGGGCCTTTAAAGTCCATCCGGTGATTATCAGGTTTTTAAAATGTCAGTTAGTACTGATTACTCCCTCTTCTGTTTCAGAGTGCCTTTGCATTATTTTGGCTTTGGTTATGCAGCACTGGTTGCTACCGGTGGGATCATTGGCTATGTAAAAGCAGGTAAGGATTTTGATGTGGTCACTTGGACTCATAAAAATTATTCATTAAGCAGGATGTGGTGGCACATGTCTGCAATCCCAGAATTTGGGAGGCTGAGACAGGAGGGTTATTGCAAGTTTGAGACCAGCCTGGGTTACAAAATGAGCTCAAGGCCAGCCTGAACTGTGTAATAAGGTCCTCTCTTAAATACACACACACGCACACGCACACACACACACACACACACACAATCATTGATTATAGCTAGACTAGAAGGTGCCTGTCTATAGTTTGAGCTCTCTGAGAAACTGAGGCTGGATGATGGCAAGTTAGCACTCAGTTTGAAAAACTTAGCAACTTATCAAGACCCTGTCTGGAAATAAAAGAGTTGAGGATGTAGCTCGGTGTCTGAGCCTGGGTTCCTTCCCCAGTAACACACCTGCACATACTCATGCACAAGAATAAAACTTCAAAAATGTATAATTGTTTCAGTGACGGTGGCCTGTGATAACCAGGGTCCCCAGAAGAGTGCTTTTGTCTGAGTCTCATTTGCTTGCGGTGTGAGTTTCCCAGCTCCTCCTGCCCCTCCCTGCCTTCTGGTTATCTGACTGAGCTGGGCCAGGCCGCCTGGTTTGGTGTTTTTGTCTGCACCCAGCCAGGTGTGGTAGAAGATTGTCATTATCCACTGCTGTCCATGAGCCTCTACCCGTAAGGCCCCATCTCTGAGCTTTTGAAAGAAGAAGAAACCTCCAGTCGCCTTTTTCGTTTTCTTTTTTAAATTTGTACTGGGGATGGAACCCAAGGCCTTACGTATCTAGGCATTTATTCTGCAATGGAAGTCTCTTCACTAAGCTAGTAGGGGGGTGTCAGTGCATGTGCTTATTTACTCCTTTCCTGCCTGCACCCCCACCTCAGTGCACATACACACACACCCCACATTTCTTATAGTGCAGACCCACTATTTCTCTCTCCTTTTGTGATTTGCCCGGAGTCCCCATGCACACTTCCAGCCCCTGGTGAGTTCATCAGGACTTGTTAAGGAAAAGCCCTGACCAAAGTTCCCCCTAAGGAGGGAAGGTCTTTTCTCCTTGGAGTGGAAGTACCTGTCCTAGTAGAAAATGCGGTGGTAAGACCCTGACTTACTGGTAAGATCTGCAAACTCCCAAAACATTTTCCTGCTGAAGAGCGCCTCAGTTATGAGCCCTGAGGTTCCCTTTGGAAGGGAATTCTGATGGAGTTGATAAATGAACCAACTGTGGGGCGTAATGCCTGTGTGTTTTTGCTTTCCTTTAGGCAGTGTGCCAAGCCTGGCCGCCGGGCTCCTCTTCGGGAGCTTAGCAGGCCTGGGTGCTTACCAGCTGTCTCAGGACCCCAGGAACGTTTGGGTTTTCCTAGGTACGTGCTTCTCTTCTCTGTAAGGCAGTTCTGGAACTATTATCTGCGCCACCAGGAGGCCCGGTCTGGTGGGGTGTGGCTGACCTGGAACCCCAAGCAATTTTTACTGCCTCTGCCAAGGGGTATTGCACAGTGGGGAACTGGTCTGGTTTCTGTGGATGGTTTATATGTAGGACATGGAAGAGTTTTTGTACCTCGGGAGGTTAGTTTTGACCTGTACCCGGCACGTACGAGTCCGTTGGCCGCTGAGCTTGTGCATTGCAGACGTCTGCCAGTGTGTTACGAAAACAACATGCAGAGATGTGGGCTTTGCATTCGGGGAGCTTTTCAGCAGAACTGAGGAGTCAGACATGATGTAGGACGGGACTGGGGGATTGGGAGAAGTGGACAGGAAGGTTGCCACTTACCAGGGTGGCTTTTGTCACACTGTTGGGCTCCACCCATGCTCACACAGCACCAGGAGTGGGGTTGCCTCCTCGCACCCCCAGGGTGAGGACAGGTACAGCTCTGCCCCTTAGGGGACAGCAGGGAAGACAGATGCCCATGGGAGGAGGGGGGCGGGGAGGAAGAGAGACCAGCAGCGGCTGCAGGAGGCCAGGCTCAGCCCCTGGCTCTGCCTAGCAGCTTCCTCCTTCACCCAGGAAAGACTTGCTGGCCTCACAGGCTTCCCTTCCCTGTGTGCCCTCCCATCCTCTGCTCTCAGCAGATGACCTCATGCTGACCTTCCTGAAAGACCAGCAGCCCTGGGCAGACGGGAACAGGGCCACATTCTTCAGTCCGGTCCTTGTCCGCTCCCTCCTCTCCAGCGGCCACGCCACCTTCTCCGCGCTCTGCACTGTCGAGGGCCCTGTCTTGTATTTGTGCCCTCTCTTGGGGGGACCTTCCCAGTGATGCTTCTGTGTTCATCTCTCCCCGATTTAAAAATGAAAGGACCTACTTCTCCTGAGTTCTTTGCCTTTTCCTTCCATTTCAGAAGCGTCTCTTGAAAACCTAACGCGCTCGCCTCCATCTTCTGCCCCCCCCCCCCCCCCCCGCTCCCTCCACTCTGTCCCGTTTGTCCCCGGGAACGCCACTCCCTGAGACTCCCCATGACCTGTGTGTGTACAGAGCCCCTCCGTGATGTGGTCGGTCGGCTGTTCTCAGCACAGCTGACCAGTCATGCCTGGTTTTCCTTTCTGTCTTCCTCTCTTGCAAGTAAATACTGAACTAAGGACCAGCTCTCTATCTCCTGTACATTCTGTCACTTGGCAGTGTCCTTGGAGGTCATTGCTTAAGTTATCTCCAGTATACAAGTGATTCACAAACGTCCATCTCCTCCAGCATTTCATCTCATGTGTGCAGTTGCCTGGTTTGGGTCTTTCAGTATCTCAGAGCCTCTGCTCAGAGCTGACCCATGAACCCTCACACGTCTAGCCTTTTCTCTATTTGCACCTTGATGTCTGTATCACCCTGACTGTTAGTTCCTTGAATGTGTGCTCTTCTCACCTCAAGGCCTTTGCACAAACTGTTTTCTCCGCTTGGAATATGCTTCTCACCCCCTCTTCAGCTAACTCGTGCATGATCCCCTGAGTAGACACATCACCTACCTGCAGCACAAATTACACATTTGTAAGACTAGGTTTACCTTATTAGACTTGAAACACTGAAAGCTAAAGGCAGTTTTTGGGTATGGTTGTGGTGTATCAGTAGGAGAAGCATGTCGGGAGAAACAGTATTGTCTGTAAGCCGTAAATAGCCAGAGTCTAGGACGTTGACGGCCAGGGAGCCCTCCCTGCATGGGGAAGGGAGAGTAGCGTAGGAAGGGGTCTGGGGCTCGCAAGGGCAGTGGGGCTTTCGCCCGTCTGGTCCCCTTGCATGTCTGTAAGAGGTGGTGATTGTGTCCTTTCTCTTTTTGCCAGTTACATCCGGGACCTTGGCTGGCATTATGGGCATGAGATTCTACCGCTCTGGAAAATTCATGCCTGCAGGCTTAATTGCAGGTGCCAGGTACTCTGGATTCCGTTGCTTCTGTTTACCAGGATAGAGTTTGGTTTCTTTCACAGGATACTCAGTACATTAAAAAATGTGCAGTACTTGTTTCAGTATTCCTGACCCTGGACATCAGCTCAGATTGTTTATACTCATGTCGGAAAGGCCACGAAAACTGGAGTGGATTTGCCAAAGATGACTCGAGCATTTATTCACGGGGAATTGGCTTTGTCTGGTTTTCTCTCTGATGACTCCTCCCTGCTTCCCACTTCAGGGCAAAGCCGTGACCGTGTTTCTTAGTTTTGCAGAACTTTGTTATTCAGAATTTTGCTGGAATGAAATTTTGATTGAATCTTGTTTTCTAATTACTTTTGATTATAAAATCCAAATTGTTTCAAATTTAGTCATCCCGAGGCATAATTCAGGACATCCCAAGGGTAAGGGAATTCTTCAAAATGTTTCAGAAAGGAGCATCTTTGGTCCTAATCATGTTGTTGTTCATCATCTTTTTTACCAAGATCAATAGCAGTCAGCTGGGCTGGGCGTAGGGTACATGCCTGGAACCCTAGATGTGATCAGAAAGCTGATGCAGGAAGATTACAAGTTGGAGCCCAGAATGGAAAATTTAGCAAGACCTTGTCTCAAAAAAATTGGCTGAATATGGTAGCTCAGTGTGAAAGCTCTGGGTTGGGTCCCCAGGACCTTAAACAAACAATAAGTAAAAAGCTGTGGAGTTCTCTCTGTGAGAGTGGTCCTGGGTTCAATCCACAGTACCACCAAATTAAAAATTATGAATTGGAAGGCTAGAGATCTACCTTTACTTAACTTTATGGCCCGAAAGGCTCAGCCTCTCCTTCTCTGGGGTGGGTTAGGAGGCCCATGTGCTGTCCTGTGCCGTCCATGCAGGCTCAGCCTGGGTGCTCCTCGGGAAATTCTGCATTTCTGAGTGCTCTGCCCTGGTGCCTGCCTTCCATGCAGTGGTGGGACCTGCAGAGTCCTTAAAAACAAAGGTCAGTGGCTGTACCTCCTCCTGATGTCTTCTCTTCTGTTTCTTTGAACAGTTTGCTGATGGTTGCTAAAGTTGGATTTACTATGTTGGACAGGCCACGTTCGTAGTGGCCACATCCCAGCTTGGACTTGTGAAGAATTAAAAACCTCCGGGCTTCCACTTTTTAAATGCAGAACATTTCCATACTTCAGCGTTTTACTTAAACTGAATTTGGTGGGGAAAAATATTAATCGCTGGCATCACAGCACTCAGAGGTGGCGAGTGTGTGAGTGAAGAGCTTCTCGATGCCCCCGCAGGGCTGGTTCTTCTGTGGGCTGTTGTCTCTTTTCTCTGTGTCCACAGTTAGAAATCACAAACAGTAAAATGTTAGGGATCAACCCTGGGCCCCCCATGCCCTGCTCAGAAGAACAGTGTGACAAGGTTTGGGGTTGGCAAGATTTGGGGTCTGTGTTCTCATCTTACAGCACAGACCTACTTTGAAATTACGGTAAATGGAATAATGAAAATAAAGTTTACTATGAATAACATGTTCTTTGGTGTCTTCTTTGCCAGGGCTGTATGGAACGTAGAATGAGATGTCGGAGGCAGGACAAATCAGTAATATTAGGGGACATCTTCTGTCAGTGTAGTATTTGGGAGTTATCTATTTCAAATAAGGACAAAAAATTTATTATTTTATTACATGTTTCCTGGCAGCTTATTTTAAAATGATCTGTGAAGGTTTCTAAGGACCGTGTAGGGGGCTTTACTAGTTCATGTCTAAATGCAAAACCAAGCTGAGTGTGTGGTGCGTGCCAGGACCCCAAGTTCAAGTTCAACCCCAACCTGGGCATCTTACAGATTTAGTGAGACCCTGTCTCAAAATGCAAATAAATAAAAAAAGACTAACTGGGTAGGTAGAAGCTGTAGTACTAAAGAAGAATTATTTTTAAATTAAAAACCATGTCCAGGGTTTGAATTACTTTGATCTGGAATACTGGAATCTATCACATTGGCTAGATCCCGGTATACTTTTCTTCGCGTTATTAGCTTCCTGTCGGTGAGCACGGTACCTGACACCCACTTCTTAAAGGAGAAGTTGAATTTGATCAGGATTTCAGTCCATAATCAACTGGCTCCAAGGCAGAGGCATCTTGGCAGAAAGATACGGCACAGCAAATCTGTATAGTTTGTGCGGGCTGGGAAGCAGGACAGGGAGACAGGGAGACAGCAGGAGAGTCAGAGAACCAAGCACAGACCTACAGCCAGGCCACACCTCCATGACCCGCCCAGATACACCTAGATGTGCACTCCACCAGTCCCTGGGATAAATCCCAAAGCCAGTCAGGTCAAAACTCCACCCTCTCGTACCTACACATTCCTCTCATTTTTTTTCTGTGATTGTAAGATGTATTTTTGGTATGAGATAGTTTTCATAAAAGGGCTCTACCATTTGTTGCAGTGGTGCAATTTTGAATTTGCAGCATTGTTTTGGTGACATAGTGGAATACTCCCCTTGGTAATTAAATTCAGTGCAGAAGGCACACATTAGGCTTTCTTGAACACACTGGATGATCCTCTTGGTCCCTACTCCTCCAGAAGTGGTCACTGATTTTTCTTTGTGCTTCCTTTTATTGAGTTCAGAATCAGGATTTTCTTTTACATAGTAAAATTCCTCTCATTTCAATTTCTGTTTCTCTTGTGAGGGTACTCTTTCTACATGGTAGACATTAACCCTTTGAACTGTATTACATTTCCTCCCAGCCGGTTCTTGTCTTTTAACTTCGGTTACAGTGTTACATCCTTGTGTGGTCAGGTGTTAGCCAGTTCTCCAAAATTAGGAAAGTAGTTTAAAAGGTTAAAATTGAGACACAGTACTTATGATAAACGCATACATACAGGACAGAATGGTATGCAATAAAATTCAATCTCCTTGCCACCCAGGACACTCAGTTTGTCAATCTGAGAAGCAACCACTGTCAGCTTTTCTTTCAGTGAGACACAATACCCTGTACCTAGAACTTAACACAGGGAACGTTTAGTTTAGCTTCAGTGTCAAGGAGATTCATACGCAGCTGGGAGGCTCCAAAGCAGAAACCTTATGGAGGAAGAGCAAGGTGGAACAGAGGTGCTCAGTTCATGTCAGCTAGGATGCACAGCAGGGGAACAGTGCCAGAAAGAAAAGGTGAGGGGCGGTATGAGGCACCCCAGGCCCCACCTCCACGACCCACGCAGATACGTCCAGGAGTGGGCTTTACTAATCTGCTAGTCATCTCTTAATCCCATGAAGTTGGCATATCAGGATCAGTGGTCACAGTCCACCCCTTGTCAACTTCATGCCCAAACACGGCTCGTTAAATCATATGTAGATTAATCTCCCAATGAACACAGCAGCCTGAGTTTTAATTCCGCCTAACATACTACGGCAGTCCTGCATATGGATATGCAATAATCCCTGCCCTAGAGTCTCAACAACTCCAGCATTTTTTAGAAATAAAAGAGCCTAAGTCTTACCTGAGACTCAAGGCAAACTCTTAGCTATGAATTCTTGTAAAGCTACATAATCCAAAGGAATAACAGCACAGGGTAAACATTCACATTGCAAAGGAAGCAAAGGGCATAGAAAAGACTCAGAAGCGAGGTTGAAACCTGGAAGGGCAAACATGTAAGTCCTGGCTCCCTATCTAGCATTTGGGGCATACATCCGCCCACCTCTGTGGCCTCTCCCAGGCCTTCCTTTAAATTGGGTGGAAGCCTCTTTGGCTCCATATTGGAACTGGTGAAGCTGAATGCACGTGCAGGGCTGTGGCATGGCCTGGGCAGGACTGAACTGAGACCAAGGAGACCCCTCACGGTGCAAGATAGGTCACAGCTGAGGACACCTGGAGATTTTCTCCTACTCTAGTATTGGACTCCTTAATTAGCACAGTTTGTTACTTGGAAGGGTCCTTGAACCCTTCCCAAGGTCCTGCTCAATTTTTCTGCATTGTCTAAATACTAAATATGGACTGCCCAGAGACATTCCTGTCTCACCAGACTTAAGAACTCTGTAGAAGATTTTGATCCTCCTGGAGCCCTAAAGATCATACCCATCATCTCATTTATTTTTAGCCTTTGCTGTTCACTCGTTTGAGATTGGGGATCTAGGCCAGGTCCCCGATAGTTCTACAACTGTTGCAGTATGCATGTCAGTAAAACCAACATGATGTGAACCCCATCAGGGGCTGTGGTTAGCACAAACAGTAGCCAGCCCCCCCAGACCACGGCTGCAGTGCCTTTGGAGTGCCAGTATGGCTGAACACAGTGAAATGAACCAGGGAAGCAGTCTCCTAGGAGCCCCCTCTCAAGCACTGCAGTGAACACTTCACACTTCTGTACCATTAAGCCTGCAGTGGGAGTCTTGCTGATCCCTAAGATACCCTGAAAGCATCTTCTTATTCCCCTACAACATACTTGGCTTCTTTTTAGTCCTGTTAATGTCTTTAGCAATCACACCTCCCCCAACTTTATAGAGGTTTCCTTCTGGGTCAAAGTTTGTTTTTCAAACTTTTACGTTCTACCTTTTGCCTCTGAGCCTCATAAATCTGGTTAAAAGCAACCAGCAGAACCAATACCACAGCAGTACCAATACCACAGTCTGAATGTTGGGCTGTCTTGAAATTTCCTCTGCTAGATTAATTAGTCCTCTACCCATAGTCTCCTGCAGAGTTTTAGGACATGGATGAGATGTAGAAAATTTTTTCTATCAGAGTAACACACATGCCCCTAATCCAATGCCAATGGAGTTCTTGTTCTCAGCTGAGACCTGAGCCTGGCTTTTACACCTGCTTTCCTGTCATCATTTGGTCAGCTGATTAGGCTCTGCTTTACTGTATTCTGAGGCTTCTCTAAGCTGCATCCCCAGACCTTCCCAGATTCCTCCAGTGAACAAGTTCAAAGGCTTCTAGACCCAGACGTGCAGGTACAATCACAGCGATGACTCCACTCAGGATGTCATGAAGAGGAAAGGGTTTTATGCAAAAGAAAGTTCCGAATCATTTAAACAGCTTCAGAAGAGTGAACTGTATACAAGGTGTTGTACTCAGGGGTTGTACACAGAGAACAATTGGATCAAGACATGGAGTTTATAAAATTATTTTTATAATAGTCACCAGGAGTTAACCCAGGAAAATGCAGGAAATCTATCCACAACACCAAAGACATAGAATATTTAGCCAAGGGCCTAAATCCCACAGCAATGTCCCACATGAGTCCAGATGAAAACCCAGAGCTCATGGCAATGCCTCCCATGAGTCCAACTGGAGGTCTAGAGCCCACAAGAAGGAATCACACCAGCTGTTTTATGGATTCGTGCCAGGAAGGCCCAAAGGTCAGTGATGGAAGCCAGAAAGTCCATGCCAGCAGGATGAAGGAGCTGTGCTGGTGGGATGAGGGTTCTACGCTGGAGCCGAGAAGTCACACTCACAACAAAGACCGGGGCTATCCTGACCACAGCCGTCCTCAGCCACACAGAGGCCCTGAGCTCCTCCTCTTCCAAGCACAGTCGGGGACATGCCAGGAAGCAGCGTGATGAATTCATCCTGGAGACCAAGCAGCACATGTCTTCCCCTCCAGAGCCAGGAAGCAATGCTTGATGTGAGGACCAGAGCTTCTCCAGGAGAACCAATGGCTCACACAGCAACTCATAGAACCCACAATGCCTCCACCCTCAACACCTCCCTGTTTTTTTTTTTTTTTGTCTTTTTCATTTTTATGGGTACCAGGGATCGAACTCACGACTGCCTGCGTGCAAGGTGCTTATGCCGCTAAGCTAAATCCCCAGCTCCAACACTTCCCTTCTTGTCCATCTATTTATCACAACTTTTCTCAGGTGGAATATCTTCGCTCAGTGCCCTGCGCTGATGTAATCCAGCTGGTGGTAAGTTGACCACCAGTTCTTTTTTTTTTTTTTATCGGTACCGGGGATCGAACTCACAACCGCCTGCTTGCAAGGCAGGTTCTTATGCCACTGAGCTAGATCCCCACCAGTTCTTAATCCGTAACACAAGGCATGATTAAAATATAATACAGTGTTTAAATTCTGAAAAATTTATAGTAAAAGTCATCAATATAATGCCCTGATGGCAGCATATCTTAGTGTAACACATTTTTAAAATCTAAACATTCTCATATGCTTTGATCAGAGCTTGTAGATGGTTGTATTATAAAGCAAATACTTTAATTCTTAGCACTGCAACAAATTTTGTGCTAAGTGAATCCAGTTTTGGTGTGTGTAGGAAGTCTAAATTAATAGTCTCAGATGGCTGCCTATATGTTGTTGATAAATTAGTATATTTTTGAGTAATTTGTTTTATTAAAAGTTTCAGAAAGTTATTGGTTGTTGGGATAAATCATTTTGGTTAACTTAGAGAATTTTAAGTACGAATTCTGTGACATACTCTTTGTAACTTTACCCTACAAGTATAAATGTACACATGCTATTTTGTATTAAAATTTTAGATATTTCTCATTAAATCACGTTTGATGTATGATTGGTCACTCAGGAAGT